TTTTATCTTGGTGAATGCTTATCCGCGTAATGGAACAATTTTTTACTCGGATAACTCTTTGACCGAGTAATCGGGAACCTTTTCATTGTGATGTCTGATTGACCGAATAATTAAGAAACAGATTTTACCGTGGAACCCCCAGACGATAAAAGTGAAACTGCTTTAGACTTTTGAAATTTTTCAACTTTTGAATAAAAGGGATAGGGTTAGTGGCAATTCAAATGGATCATTGAAGTGCGTAATAGTCACTTTGGGTAGTGATTTTATAAATAACGCGAAAACAGAAAAATAATGAAATCAGTACTGTGATCTAAAATGAAATAAAAGGAAGGTCTTAAAATTATTGCAAAATGACAAAATGAAATTTTGAAAGTAACACAAAGTGATATAAAGAAAGTAAAAGAAAGAAACGTAATTAGAGATCAAATTTTATACTGCGGAAGGAACTGACATTTTTTCAATATGAAATAATATGGGATTAGATTACAGTATATTTTGTAGCCTGAATTTTCTGCCAAACGTCACACGCGTATGCAAAAGGGAAGAGAAACGGGGATGTAGTTCCGAAAAGCGCATGGCTTCTAATAATTTGAATCTTCGTATACCTACGTATTTTGATGGGCTAATTACGAATATAATAGTGAAAATTGACGATAATGTCGCTTTCAAAGTGGAATCAGTTTTTAATAATTATTCACTTTTCTTACATTATTTTGATTAATATTGATTTATGAGGAAAACCAATGAAAATGAAAATTGTAGTTCTTGAAAAAAATACATCTTTTATGTTCTATACATTGTTTTTTTTTAAACCATTATTCATCGTGAAAAATGAGATACATTCCTGAAACTTCCCTTACCTTAACAATCCCGATCGTTTCATGTGTGCATTGGAGGCTTCAGTCCCCCGATCCCCAAGTTATATAATGTAACGTAACTTGACCCTTTTACCCCCAACCCTGTTCTACCACATTTACCGCTTGCTCTTCTACAATTAATCATACTTTTGTAGTTGAGAAATGTATCCCATTTTTATCGAAAAGTGATGACTGTGGAAAAAAAATGCATACAACATAAAAGATGTATTTTTTTAGGGCTACAACTTTAATCGAAAACTTTTTTCTGTTAAACCTATGCTAATGGAAATAATATAAAAATGTGCAAAGCATATTAACAATTATTTTTATCATGAAGTTGGCATTGCGTCAATTTTCACTATCATATTCGTAATCAGTGAGTCAAGATACGTAGGTGTAAAAAGTTCCAAATTAATCAGAGACATGTGTTTTCCGGAACTTTATGCAAGGAGGTAACCCATCCGAACAGTGACCAAGCTCATGGAGACTCAACCTTATTGGTAGTATGAGTATAGAGGTTTGGTGCGGTAAGGCAATTGTACATGCACTTGTTCCTCCTTATCCGCCCTGGAGCCCACGTGCCCGAGTATGATAACCCTTTTGATGCTCTATTCTTCTCTCCAGGGAAGGACAGACTTATGCAACTAGGTTTCGGACCTCAAGCATAAATGGTTTCCCTTCGCCACAGAAGGCTCGGGAGTCCTAAACGTGGCAGTCTCTATTACCCCTAGGGGCCGCAAAGGCATCGAGCTTTTATTACTACTTGCAAAACTCCAGTCTAGGGCCTTCCACCACCTGCTGTGAGGTTGCCGATGTCGTTTTCCTAATAATCAGATTAACGTCTGGCTCTGGCGTTGGCTCTGGAAGGGTCTTTTTCCTTTCGGGGCTACTGTCCCGTCCCGTTTGAAGCGGTGTTTTCCCTTGCTCTCTTGCGGGTCTTAGGCCCGTATTCATAGTCGTAGCTCAGCTTTTCAACTAAGTTTTGAGCCTTTCTCAAACCGCCATGCTTATTTATACTGAATTGTGAGCTAGATTTAAACACATCTTCGCTGAACATGGTTTGGTCAAGCGAAGCTTGAGACATGATCGTGATTTACGTATTCATAATTGATTCTCAAGCCTGGATCACAATTCTCTTTATTCATAAACGTCGCTTATATATCGATCGGAGATTGAACCTCATTTCAAATCGCGCAATTGTCAAATCACCTTTGAAGGTGGCTCAAGCTGGATATAACCTGAATAATGGATGCATTCCGAGACATTGACGATTACTACGAAGGCTATGAAGATTTCATAGATTACGTTTTCCGGTTTGCTAGAATACCAAAAAGATACGTACGCGATATGCAAAGTCCGTTTGAGGTTTGGAGTGACTTAGAATTTATAAAGCGGTTCGATTTGGGAAGAATACAATCAGGAATATATTATTATCTTTGGTTAGGGAAAAATTAATTAAAAATTCTGTAAGGGGTCTTCCGATTTCACCTGAACTTCAGCTACTATGTTGTTTACGTTTTTACGCTACTGGGAGTTTTCAGGCAAGTTGATAATGTTATGTAATTTGCATAATGGTAAAAAGGGGGGCATCAGTAGACAAAAATTGTGAGTAGTTACTCAATTTCTAATCTATTTGTCCATAGCTAGTATGTAGTGATCTTTTGAGAATATCCCAGTCAACAACGAGCAGGATGGTACAACGAGTGTCCCGATTACTTGCGATGCAACACAACAACTGTATCAAATTTCCAAGAACAGCAGAAGCTGCTGTAAGAAATAAAATTGCCTTTCAAAGATTCGGGACGACAGGCAATGTAGATGGCATCCGTGGAATCGTTGGAGCAATCGACGGAACACATATCCGTATAGTCAGTACACCTGGAAGACCACGACCAGAAATTTATCGAAACAGAAAGACATGTTTTTCTATAAACGTTCAAGTACGTTAGAATATTATGCGAATTAAAAGAAATCATACTCTCACTAACGACAGGAAAATTGACATCCATTTGTACGTTGTTTCAGGCCATAGTCGGACCCAATTTGAAATTTTTAAACATTACGGCTCGGCATGCCGGAAGTACTCACGACTCTACATCTTTTCGTGCATCAAGAGCTTATGTAAAATTTTTGGACAGGGTGATTGACGGATCTTTGTTGGCGGATTCTGCATATCCGTCATCAAGATTTGATTTCACTACGGTATTAAATCCGCATATTAGGGCAGAATAATGATATAATAGAGCACATCGAAAAGCTCGAAGTGTTATCGAAAGAACTTTCGAAATTTGGAAAAGAAGGTTTCCTTGCCTGAGAAGAAGCCTAAGCAACAGCTTTCAAACTGTAAGCTACATCATTGTGGCTTGTGCAGTACTACACAATATCGGTATAGAAGTTAATGATGTAATGCCGGAAGACGATGAATTTGAAATTCCACAAGAATAGGAGCCCGATAACCCTACCCCTGAACAACTACTTGAAGGCATTGCCGCTCGACAAGCATTGATTAATTAATATTTTCGCGATTGAACGCTCAGTTAAATCACACAATAAATATATTATGAATTGAGACACAATTGTCATAACGCAGAATTAGTTTTATAAAATATTGAAGATTATTTTCTCGAACAACATTGTTGTAATTTTTTATATCAATTTATTCTTATACATCTTTAGTTAAATTAACATCATTTTGTAATTTTAAGTATTGCAATTCTACTATTCATAATTCTAACTCAGCTTTTCTTTTTTTACATTTCTTTATTTCTGTTTTTATTTCCTCGTTCTCTGCATGCCGACGTTCATCAACTCTATAACGTTCGGCTTGTATAAATAATGCGTGTAATTCGACTTCTTGCATATTAAGTTGCATTAATCTTTTTAAACGGGCATTTGATTCCTTTTGAATCGCATTTAATTTTGGATCAGATGGAGATGGTGAACGAGAGGAATTAACGAAACGCCTTCCTCTTGAGGTGGATTGCTCACGGACGGAAACATTTTGAACGGGTACAAACTGCATAGGATTAAAAAAGGTTTCTTCATTATTAGACTTATGTCCAACCTCTTGGCATGCCCGTTTTGGTGGATTCTCCACAGATTCTGCAGGTCTCTTTGTATTTTCATCTATAACGGCAAATGAAACCAGTTAGAAATGAATAATAAGAAAACGACTGACCACAATTCCAAATATTACCTAGTGAGGCTGATAGAGATAGAATTGGTTCGGGATAATCAATGCTATTTAGAATAGCAAAATCGTTATCTAGTAATAATGGACAGAATAAATGTGAAAGATAAAAATATTTTGTATTATTTTACAAATAGCACAATGTACATCACATATACATAAGTTCAATTAAATACCAATATTCTGGACAATTTCTGCCGTGTCACTGTCGATTGCATTTGGCACCTCAACCAGCAGGCTCGTTGTAGCTTCCATTATGAGTGGATCTACTGAAACACTTGCTGTCCTGGTCCTCCTCCCGTACGGTATCGATGCTGCTTCTCAGCTACCAATTTTTCTCTCACGATGTTTTAAGTTCTTCCATAATGTTTGCAGTTGTTTTATTGTAGCCTAAAGCACAGAAAATAAAAGTATCAAACATGAAAGTAACATCGACTTTCCAAAATTAAGTCACTAGAATGACTTTGCAAGAAATTCTTGCAATGAATTGATTATGGATTTTTCAGTTAAAAAGTATTCATACCTTTTGATTTATAGAAGAACATTGGTTATATTCGCCTGATAATTTTTCCCACGCTTCGTTTTTCTTCATATTGCTGACACTATCAGTATGTTTATTTTCAATAATATTTTTATTTTTTAATACAAGTTCCTTCAGCAATGTTTTTTCAACTTCACTATATATTTGTCTTTCTTCCCTTCTTCCATTCTTTCAATTTCGCTTTCCACACGAAATATTATATCCGCGGAAAAAACTATTATTTATTTTATCTGTCACGTAGACGTCAAATAGTTATGACAAGTGAAGGAATACCCAATCGACGTATGCGTACACGTTCAATTTGCTATTTAAAACTCGTTTCATGGTAAATCGCGATTGAATCGTGGTTTACTTGAACGGAAAATGAAAGACTCACGTGAATCGAGGCTCATCTGAGCTAGTCTTGAGAAATGCCCATGAATATAGGAGTCGTTTGAACTACGATTTGTGGCTTGAGCAAGGTTCACGCAAATCGCAGTTGAACTGCATTTTAAGTCCGGACTATGAATACGGGCCTTAGACAGTTCGATCCAATACCCTTAAAAAGAAGTCATATTCAAGCCGACTGATATGAGGGATTCACTTGACCTTAATAGACTTGTCTATTTTCAGTTCATTTCTACAATGCTTTTTAACAGGAATTACTTCATCTGCAACCCTGTTGCATCGAAGGTTCCTGATGAACAAGATCATTATCGCAAACAATACGATCATCATATAATGCAGGAACTTCACAAAAAGGACACCTAGGACATTCATACCATCTATCAAGACATGGATGTAAGACCCTGAGACATATTGGACACGACCTGTATCTTAGGGATGATACATGGAGAAATGTTAAAGCGCACCTAGGGAATCTGTGTCCCGAAGAACATGTAACAAGATACCAGTGAAGTTCTGTTATAACATCCCCACAGATCTCGCAGAGCTCTACTTCTGGTGTCCTTATGTGAGACGTTACTTCTAATGTTTTTCTGGCACAATCTGCGACAGGATTACTTTCATTATCTTCACCTGCTAGGTACACATCTAAATACATTCTAACTAACATAATGCACAAAAGATCATTTTCCGTCAAAGCTGAAGATTTAGCTAAACGCTGAACGTGATCAGAAATTGCAAACACGGTCACTAAAGGTTGCACTTCTACAATATCGTCGGTTATAGTCTCTAAGCTACGTTGACTTCTCTTCATTTTAACAGCTTCTGTGATGATAGAAGTCCACATTAACACTCGCAGCTTATATATCGATAACGTCTCCGAGTCTTGACACCGATTTGGAATTACTGAATCAAGATCTCCAGATTTGATGACTTTCAAACGCAGCAGCTCCAGGCAGTCCCATTTATTCGATATAGAAGTTATTTTGCTTCGACTGATTATTTCCAATGGATCCCAAAGCGTTCCCTCCAGGGTGCAGAATCGAAGTTTTGTTGGCTCCCGGACTACCAAGTGATCATACATGCAATGTGGACTACTTACATTGACAACGATACATCGATTGGGCGATGCTGCTAGTCCCAAATATTGCATTCGATCTTTGGGGAAATTATGTTTTGCCATTCTACTGATTAAGCGCCCTTCCTTCAGTCTTATATAGAACAGCTTTCCATCCTGGGTAGTAGCTAAAACTTTATCCTCACTGATTAATGTTAATCCTAAAAAGATTATAAATATCAGACAAATCATAAGCCAAAGTAAAAAAAGGAAGCTCTCATATTCTTAGATACTGGATTAAGGCTTAAATTATGTAAATATGTATTTAAAATATAGTATACATTCTGCATTTGAAATGCGTAAATAAACTTTACTTCGCTACATATATATGAACCAAGCTGCATTCGCTGCATACGCTGGATACAAGCGTATTCTAGCCTCGGCTCCATCTCCACCTCCGCCCCGATGATGGAATTGGCTGCATGCTTCTGCATTTTTTAAATGAAAAATACTGTTACAAAGGTTTCTACTTTAGATTATGACGAAACAATAAACCATAAGATCAAAAACACAATGAAGCAACTACTTCATCATATTGTACTTGGATTTAGTTTCAAATTAATCAATGTAATGCAAAAAAATACAAAATTCAAATTCACAAAAAACATGACATAATACCATTCGTACCAGATATACAGTAGCCTTCAAGTTGTAAGTACTGAAGATCTAATAACACTCCCTTGTTGTCAATATCCAATAACATTAAGAACCAGTTTTTACAGACTAAAACTTTAGCCCCATTCTCATTGTGACTTAGTATTTCCATAAAGCTTACAGGAATGTGGTCTGCATAAGAGCAATATTTTTCTAAGGATTCCAACTGAAAATCATCCTTATTTCGATCTATACAGAGACCTTCGATTAGACCATTAAAATATGCTAAAATTATAAGACATCTATTGCATAAAAGGTCGATCCATCGAATAACATTAATCTTGATATTGTCATCATGCTTCATTCTTGTCTTGAAAACTATAATCGGTGAAATTGATTCACTAAATTCTTGTATCTTTGGAATTTTCCATATTGCTATATCTGTACTGCGATATGCAATAGTAAGGTATGCAAAGCATGTTTGATGTTCGTACAAATTGCTCCATGTCAATGCAGTTGCTTGTAAACGTCTAGCATTTGTTATCAATGCTGAGTATCGATAGCTTTTGTCCATGGAAGGTATATTATTTATTTCTAGCTCTTCCTGTATAGCATTTAACCAGTTCTCCGACAAGTTACATATGGATGGCCACTTTTTGAAAAATCTAGATGGCTTATAGCATAAATTGACAGCTCCAATTGATGTGATAATGGCAAGGAGACAGTTCAAAGGTGAAGCCAATCGCTGAGGAGACCATGCCAAATCAATGATTCTTGGAACAGCTTCATTGGCATCTGGTAGTCGAGGTGTGATAAACTCCTCCATTAATAGAAGATAAAGTTCCTCACGATCTAAAGTCCATACCGTGGAACTAATGCATGATGAAAACTCTTTCATCGGTGACCATTCAGAGGGATAGATAAAAGAACGGGAGAATATAAATGCTTGCTGTGTAGACAATGGTGTGGGCTTCAATTCCTGAAAACCAAAATAAATTGGCTTATCAAAATTCCAGAATAAAGCCATGAATATAAAATGTATTGAATTATTGTTCAGAAATTTCAAATTCATTATTATTGTACGATCACATGTAATCGTCTCATTGAAATATATCATCCAAGTATTTAAACCAAATTAAATCTCCGTTAAGAATGTTTTAAAGTTTAGGCTTAATAAGTATTTCCTTTAGAAATTTTAAAATACTTTATAAACAGTAGGGTAAATCAATATAAATGCAAAATAATGTTTACGTTAAAGAAGATATAATGAAATATTTACATTAACACGTTGAATGCCAAAACAAATGACGAGTGTACTATCGCAAGGCGGTTGGCGGTCACCGGTGACCTCCACGGCATTCAACGTGTTAAATTGTAGATAAACATGAAGTATTTCAAGTAGTACTACTATAATGTTTTAATTCAAATTATTAACAAAGCAATAGATTCAAGCCTCTAATGAATGTTATAAGACTTACAAGTATATAAATACCCTTCTCCGTTGCTATAGATATTTGATTATCTTCCGACCATTTTACAGAAAACATAGCCGTCACTAATGGCGTAATTGGTAAATTGTAAATACTCTTAACCTCCATTGTGCCAAAAATTGCATGACATATCTGCAATGATAAAAGAAAATTATATTCTAACTTCATTAGTATATTGTACTAAATAGAAACAGATTTAAATAATTAAAAGACATTATATTGAGTTGGCAACTAAGTAATTGCAGATTTTTTAATACCATCTATCAACAAAATCCACAATCATTTAGTTGCCAACTCAACATTACTGTTCCAATGAATATATTTGTCTAAAATTTAAAAATATATATTTTTGACAAAGTATTTATTTGAAATCTGCGCTATATCCAAATATAAAATAAAAGTTTCGCAATAAACCGTAAAGCGGTACTTGATATTAACTCAATTGAATAAGTATAAAGTGTAAAATTAGGTTGTGTACCATATCATTTCAACGACAACAACAATCATTACAGAAACCGCCAATGTTTTTGCATTCCTAGATATTTTCCTAGTTGTGTCACTGCTTCGCTAATGAATAACAGTCTTAAACAAGAAGTTAATTTTACCTTCAAATCATTCCATTACGCACACCACATGTTTACTCTATTTACACCCAAATGTAAACATCAGGACAAGTTATAGAGAAAAATTGAAATCGAATAATTCAAATGTTAGGATATTGACTCACGCGTAGTTTGCAGGAAATTTCGGACAGTAACTTGTAAGTACTATCAACTATTTCCACTACGCATCTATTTGAGCACTTACATTACAAATTGTTTACAATAGTATTTGCAGGTTAAAGACGACCGACACGTGGGAAAACGGCATCGTTCAAATCTTAGAAAAAGAATACAGATGTCTTCATAGAAACCCAGTTCCCATATTGATGCTTGATACCCAATAAATAGTAACAAAGCGGGACACTAAATGGCAGCACAGCCGATTTAAAGCATTACAGAGTGAGGAGAAGGGGGTCTTTTACGTAGAGCAAATTGAGCGAAAATGTGAAAAATGAGTAGCTGACGGTATTACGGAACGTTTTTGGTGGTGAAAATGCGAGACCATTCATATGAAGTGACTCAACACAAATTTTTAAGCGAAATGGTAAAACACAAGGTTGGGTAAGTATAATCAGAGATGAGTTGGGAGATTGCTCACGGGCAGGGTCGCGCGATCGCATCGTATGCTGCCCTCTGGTTTCGTACGCATTCGCTGCATACGCTGCATTCGCTGCATACGCTGGATACAAGCGTATTCTAGCCTCGGCTCCATCTCCACCTCCGCCCCGATGATGGAATTGGCTGCATGCTTCTGCTGCCTTCGTTGAATTCCTTCTCTTTCGCTGAACGATATTTAGTCCATTGCACTCGCGGATCGTGCTCACTGTCGCGTCCTAATCTCATTGTCTTCGCGTCGGTTCGGAAACTGCGCGTACACCCCATCTCGTCATCTACGAAGCACCTCGTTACGAGCTCCGAATGCCGTCGATTGAGAATTATTGTACCATGTTGATATACATTTCGAACGTAGTATGCAACACCTCCCTCGCGCCCCCCGCCATTTTCTTAACTTTTGACATCTTACCGCGGCAAATTTTCAGGGGCAACTGGCGATCCGCCGGCCGGGCCGCAATCCCCGGCCGTGACCCGACTCCGTGATTGGACGACGCCACCGGCAAAGGATCGACCAATCACGGTCCTTTATCGGGCCGGTGACGTCGTCCAATCACGGAGTCGGGTCGCGGCCGGGGTTTGCGGCGCGGCCGGCGGATCGCCAGTAGCCCCTGAAAATTTGCCGCGGTGAGATGTCAAAAGTTAAGAAAATGGTGGGGGGCGCGAGGGATGTATTGCATACTACGTTCGAAATTTATATCAACATGGTACAATGATTCTCAATCGACGGCATTCAGAGAAGGTAACGAGGTGCAAGGGAGGCTTCGTAGATGACGAGGTGGGGTGTACGCGCAGTTTCCGAACCGGCGCGAAGACAATGAGGTTAGGGCGCGACAGTGAGCACGGTCCGCGAGTGCCATGGACTAAATATCGTTCAGCGAAAGAAAAGGAATTCAACGAAGGCAGCAGAAGCATGCACCCAATTCCATCATCGGGGCGGAGGTGGAGATGGAGCCGAGGCTTGAATATGCTTGTATCCAGCGTATGCAGCGAATGCAGCGAATGCAGCGAATGCAGCGAATGCAGTGAAAGCAGTGGAAGCAGTAGAAGCGGACACAAAGACGGAATGCAGCCAGAGCCAACGTCGAAGGGAGGCAGATGGAGAGGAGGCCAGAAACCCCAGGTCTCTGCGGAGGGATCTCCTGGGGGAGTACCGCCAGAAAAAGACGAATCGTCCCGTTGGTAAGTCTCAACATTTCTTTCCTCCGATCCCTTCATGTCGCAGGACGAAAGGTCCGTACCGGCACGGGGATCGGTTGTATGTTATGATTTGTTTGAGGGACCGCGAATGGACGGGGAGTGACCTCCCGCCGACTCGCGAGTGGCCGTGTGAACTTTGCTTATTTCTTGTATGTTGATTTAGACTAGGAATAGCTTTCTCCTGGGTCCGCGGTAGATTACGTTTCGCGTTTCTTTATCATGCGCCGGGAAGTCGGACGACCCTCCGACTTCGGGGCCATCGGTTTCGCNTGGCAACCGATGAAAGATGTATGCGAGAGATTTGAGCTCGGGGGTCGGAGGCATCCCGGGATGTCCTCCCTAGATTAGGCTATTTGTCCCCGGGTGGAATGAGAGAGAATCGTGAAGTGAGTGAGTTGGAATGAGTGAGGTTGATTTTTTAAATATAGCTATATAGGTAGGCTAATTGCCTGGAGTGAATGTCTAGATGTAAGTAGGTAGGGCCAGGGCGGGATCTCTTCCTGGGGGTTTGGGAGGAGATCCTGAACCTGGGGTAATTTTCCATCGTCCGCGCTTCCGGAAGCGCGGAGGATGGAAAATTTACACCCTGTGATATATCCGCGATTGTATCAATATTCTTTCAGCAATAAAATTAATTAGACCGCGCTTGGGAATCGAATAAATGTGCAATACGCTCGGACTGCGCATCCTCGGATCGCAGGTCGTCGTTTTGCTAGTTTTTGAATCTGCTCGCGGAATAATTTTTTTTTTTCAAATTCGAAAAATCAGGTGATTGCCAAGCGTTCGAGACGTAGGGGGCTCTGCCCGAAGAGACTGCAAGAGTCGAAGAGGCTATATGCCGAAGCGGCCCCTTAAGAAGAGGGCAACTATGATGGCCTTCCATGCTTTCGAATGGACAGTCATTCATTTTTTTCGCCACGTTGTCCCTCTCATTTTTTGTATATCCTTCTTTCTGGATTGACAGGGAGAGACGGTGAACTATCGTTTCCATGAAATTTTCTCGAGTCTGCATTTAAGTAAGATAAATATATTAGATTTTTGTCACGCCAAGTAATGTATAATTGAATACATTTTTACTGGGTCATTTATACGAGATCGATGCACTGCGAAATATTCTTGACTTTAATGGTAACTTTAGTAAGTTATTAACACTTGTATCACCGTCTCTTTCTCGCTTTCCCAATGGTTTCGTTTGTGCCTTTGTGTTCCCTTTCAGCTTTAGGTGGGCCACTTCAGAGAATCTGGCGACTTCCTGGTGTTTCTTCGATGTTCCGTTTTACCTGTACTTTTGTGCCCCTTTGCAGGTTTAGGTGGATCACCTGGAAGCAGCCATTTTTGGTAAAATCATCACGGGCAGTTAATCGAAATCGAGCTTTCTGCACTTGTTGGTAGAAGATGTTAAAATATGTTAAAGGATGTTTGCGAATTTTTTTCGCGATGCGAATTGCGTCCACGGTAGCTTGATGGGGAAGGTTGTTCGGTTTAAATTGATCTCTCGAGCTAGTGCTTGCGATTTTTTTCGGCGGAGACACAGGGTTTGGAGTTTTTGTGAGGAGTTCATCACTTTTTCAGCTTGGTAGGGAAGGTTGTTGTGCTTAAATTGATCTTTCGAGCTAGTGGCTGCGATTTTTTTCCGAAGAGATACAGGGTTTTGGAGTTTTTGTGAGGAGTTCATCACTTTTTCAGCTTGATGGGGAAGGTTGTTCTGCTTAAATTGATCTCTCGAGCTAGTGGAGTAAAGGTGGAAGACCAAAAAGTAAATTATGGAATGAAACAAATGGACACGATGGATGTTTATAACCTAGCGGATACCGTATGCTCTACGTCTGTCTTGTCCGCCATATTTGATACGTTCTCCTGGTTTTCCACGTTTTCTCCGGTAAACTACTTGATTCACGTAATATACGTCAAAAACTTCGAAAATTATGAAATTACCCAACCCTAGTAAAGCATACAAGAAAAGATAGAAAAATGAACACCGTGAACACCATCTTCCAAGAAGAAGAAGGGAATTACGTGATGCCTCAGACCTATTTTCAATTGAAGCAAGAGAATTTACTAGGATGTACAGGTTAGTTTTTATTATTGGGAGATTATATTACACTATCAAACATTGAAAACTATTAAATAATTCATGCTTACATGACATGATAAGAAAATTATAATGTTGAACTTCTAATTGTAGTACATGTAAATATGAATGTAATACATATATAAAAATATAGATGGACTCGAGTACTATTCTTTACTTTTAACGGCTTTCCATCTTCCCGCGTTTCCTGTCTATAACCAACTACCTCACAATTTTCGATTTACAAGGTATATACCTTTATTTAGCAATATTACTAGACCGGAAGTGCTAATCATCTCGTTCTTTCATACAGCGAATACGTAATTCGTCGAATAAACCCACGTGAGATGAAAGTGCGAGAAGTGAGCGCCCTCGTCAAAAATACTTAATAAACGCTGATAAACGCCCAGAGCGTTTCACTAGCATTTCCGATCTAGTAATACTGTTAAATAAAAGTAGATATGTACCTTGTAAATCGAAAATTGTTGAGAGGTAGTGTGTTATAGGCAGGAAAGGCGGGAAGTTGAAAAGCCGTTAAAAGTAATGGAAAGGACTCGAGTCTATGCTTCACCATATCGCTTAAAAATTTATGTCGAGCCAATTCATATGAATGGTCTCGCATTTTCACCCCTAAAAACGCTCCGTAATACCGTGCGCTACTCATTTTTCACATTTTCGCTCAATTTGCTTTACGTAATAGACCCCCTGCTAATAAATCTCATGTTGGGCTATCTATGCTTACACGGTCGAAGGGTTTTGTTTACGAATTTCAAAAAGTGCCTGTTAATTTGATTTCATCAGCAGTAACGGATAAATCTGGAATATTCGATAACGGACAGGGGTTGAACAGAGAAACAAAGAAATACTTTGTCGGTTTGCCCTTTTGTATTATGTAGTGAATACGGTGAATACGTGGGAACAGGTATCTGTTAAAAACTGGTAAGAGTGAGATATTTTTATTTTTTAACACCTTTCTTTGATTTATTAACAATAAAAGTATGGTAATAATATACATTGTGTTGTATATGTAGATGACTGGTCAAGAAGAAGAGTAGATTTAAAATATTTCTTTAAATGGCTTAACCAAGAAATTGTTTTATAGGTATGTCTTTGAAGTCTGTAAAATTTAATGTCATTAATTTTTGTTATTCCTAACTAATTCATAATCTGCAAGGTGAGCAGGAGTAGAATTAACAATTTATTTATTCTATTTTTAGTTTAATATATCCTTGGTTGTGGATCTGTAGGTGCTATGACTTCTATAAGTAATTTGTTCGAAAGAAGAATGGATGGCACTTACATAGTCAATGCGGATGAAAACGAGAGTCTGTTTGAGACACAGAATGCAAATAGAGATATTGTATCTTGTAATGAATCTTCCGAGCAGTCCCAGGAGATTGCAAGTTCTGTTATTTTAGCAGGAAATTGGGATAATCCAAGAAGACATCAATTATCGGAGGAAAAAACTGTATCCTCTTTAGGTTCCACTCTAAATTCTACAATATTAGCAGGACATGTTCCAGCATTGGAGGCTAGTCTTCCTGTAACTTTTACATCACTTACTAAACATAAATCGACGAAAGATATTTATTCTTCCGGAGCCGTACCAATAAGTGATAATAATTCAAACGAACTTAATAAAAGTATTTATGTTTCATCCAAGAAAGATATCAGTGAACAACACGATGTATTGTCCCTAAAAGGTTTTAAAGATGATTCTGATGTAATACAAAGTACAGAAGAAAATGTACAATTTAAAGACAGTATTGATAGTACAAAATATAATTCACTTAAATCTCTTTTCACGCTCCCAAAGGAAAAAGATGTACATTTACCTATTATTAAAATAACTCCACCGGTAGAGGATAAAGCGTGCCTCAAAGTTCAATCAGAAACTGACTATTCATCGAGTAGTGTCGTAAGCTCCACTTCAAAACTCTCTGAAAGTTGGGAAACTGACTTTAGCGAGTCTGAAAAAGGAGTTATCGAAAGTGTTAAAAGTCCTTATGTACGGTGCATTCCATTTATTGACGATTGCCCCAAATCAACCCCATATCCAGGACAAATCAAAAGTTTTAACACAATTATTAGCGAGTCTACTATTAGGAAAGAAAGTTTTAATAAATGTCATGATGCAACGGTTGTTAAATTGAAAGATCAAAGCAAATCATTTTTATCTGTTTTGAATAAAACCTATTCTTCTGGTGCAGAGAGAAACCCAGAGACTGATGATATTATTCCAACACGGTACCTGCAAAAATTTGCTTCCTCTCCAGAAGCTTTTACTAGGAAATTAGTGACTATCATAGAAGAGTCGATTATGGAATGTGATTCGGGCAATAAATCTGGCATGAGTTTAAGTAAATTCACAAAAGAATTCAAGAAGATGTGTAAATTTATAGAAGACGAATCTGTTCCTGAAGGTTTTTTACTTTGTGATACCAATTTGTCTATGCAAGAAGAGAAAAGACAAAATTATAGTGTAGAGGTTGAGTCTCACGAAAGAACAAGAGATGCAAACCAATACAGAAAAGAAGATAGCAAAGCAGCGTTCTCAAACATTGTATCGGCACAACCACATTTTTTAAATCAGTCTCCAGACAAAAATAAAAAAATGGATCGCTTCAAATTTGTACAAAGCAATAAAGTATGGAATGATCTATCTCCAAAGAAAATAGAAATTGATAAAGAATTAAATAACGACAGTATCTCTTCGTTTCTTGAGTGGGAAAATCTTTGTAATGCACTGTATTCGGATCAGGAATGTCCAGATAATAGCCAACCCAGTACACCGTCAGTGGAATTCACTTCTTGTCCAACCGAAAGTGATACTTATTTAACTGCATCTGAGCGACAGATGTCTTTGCTGATGATAGAAAGTTTGGTAGAAAATGAGAATATCAAAAAACTGTCAGGATCGGACATTTTAAAGAACAAGAAATCTCCGAATACTGAACAATTCTACAAACGTAGATTAAACAGCTTAAATAGAAAGGCAACGTCTTCTAAGGATGATCAAGGGTCGTATTCCGAGAAAGAATTAACAGCGAACACATTATTGGAATTAAGAAAGAAACGACAGAGGTGTTTTGATGCAGCAAAGGCAGCGTCAGCTATTACAGAAAAATGTACGATAGATGAAAGTGAAGAATTTGCAGGAAGACAGAAATCAGATGTGCCAAAATCATTGCAGTGCAATGCAAAATTTGAGCGAACGCTTTCCATCTGCGCAGGTTATTATTCTGAGTTGATGAATACATTTCAGTCATATGCCACAGTACCTCCAAAAGTTGAGAATCTCAAACCAAGTGAAAAGACTAAAAGTCTTTTAAAATCCAATACTGCTTCCGTCAACCGTAAACCTGTGAAATCTGTGAAATTGGTTAAATCAACACAGAGAGTTCAGCTTGGCGCCAGTAAAAATTCTGCTTCGACAGAAAAAGGCAATACTATGAGGACAGTCAGTTGTAAAACAACATTGCAAAGAAGAGTGCCTAAAGCTTTACCTACTGAAAAGACAAAACAGTTGTCTTCGAATGTAGTTCAGAAAGACTTCAGAAAGAACAAGGGCTTGAATACTACATTTTTACAGTTAAGTAGTAAGAAGCGTAAAGCTGAGCATGTATCACCAATTTTCAAAGACGGAAAACATATTGTTATGAAGACGAAAGAATTAAATGAAGCAAAGTCTGAACGACCACAAAGTGTTAAAGCTACTCGAAGTCCACTTAATGCAAATTACTCGCCTCAAAAGTTACCAAAAAATATGTCTCCAAAACCTTTGTCACCTCTGGTTTTACCAAAATCTCGATTAGCAAAAGAGAATAGAC